TCCTGAAGGAACTTATTCCAAGATATGGGCTCCCTTCCTCCATACAGAGTGATAATAGGTGTGCCTTTATCTCAGAAATAACTCAGCAAGTAAGTAAAGCCCTGCATGTTGAATGGAAATTACATGGATCCCGGAGACCTCAATCTATAGGAAAAACAGAAAAAATGAATCAAACTTTAAAGAATACTATAGGAAAATTGATGCAGGAAACCCACCTGAAGTTAGATAGGGTGCTGCTGCTTGCACTGCTCTGGATTTGGGTCACCCCTAGAAGCAGGCTTAAGTTAAGCCCCTACAAAATAGTATATGGGAGACCCTTCCTAGCATCCCTAGGTAAGTATGGTGACATCACGGTAAGTGAGGTAAACAATGTAAAACAACATATTGAATAAGCCAAATACTAACCACTATATGAGTTTGCCTCTTTTAGGTCCTCGCCTCAGCTAGAAGCACCCCTCGACCCTTTTAAACCAGGAGATCAGGTGCTGCTTAAAGTCTGGAAAGAACAGGAACCTAAACAACAACTGGCAGAGAAGTGGAAGGGTCCCCATGAATTGCTTCCAACAGCTTACACATCATTGAAATTCTCAGGAATAAAACCTTGGGTCCATTATACCAGGATAAAGAGGTGTCCTATAGAAGAAGAGGACCCAAAACCCCAATGGAAAGGCCAGCCTTTAGATCTAAAGTATCTGTTTAAAAGAAAGCAAAAATGAAACTGTTGGAAGTTTTTTTTTCCTCCCTAATCTTTCTCTAGTTATTTGTTCTGTCTATAGGATAGAAAAACAACTCCACAGTGAGGGTTTCCCTAGGATACAACCTCTTCTGCTGCTTTTGTCTTGCTGCTGGGTCTGTAGACCTTGTTCAGTGCAAGTATTCTAATCCAACCCTGTATTAGACAAATATAAACCTTCCATGTACACCACCACCTGGATTTAGCAGGAAGTAGCTCAATGAATACAACACTCCACCTCCCATAGATACGGAAGGAAATAAAATTGAAAGTGGAGAATATGTAATAGAGAGGATGACCTGAAAAAAAGAAAAAAAAATGTATATTCTGTCTCTCATTGAAATTGGCTTCCCTGCCCAAGGCTGGAGGCTGGGTGGACCAGGGGAGTGTTTTCTTTGTTCTCTGCATTGCAGGAGATATGGAGGATCAGGAGGCAGTCCCAGGAGATCCTGGGCAGCTCTGCCTGGCTCCAGACTGGTAGGGGCGTCCCAACAGATCCTGGAGATGAAAGGATCAGAACCATCAACAGTAATTGACAACAACACTCTAAATCTGAGAACCCTCCCCTTTAAAAGCTCTGTATTTTTGCTTATGGGGGAGGAAAAATTGGATTTGGGGATGATAGTCTGTGGTTTTGTTCCCTTTACCAGCAAAGGAATAAATCACTTTCCTTCTCTTCAATTACTTGTCCTTGTTCTTCTGATTTGGACTCACGGACAAGCGCTGAGCTTTCAGTAACACTTTCATTTCTATTGATCAAAATGAATTATCGGCCGGGCGCGGTGGCTCACACCTGTAATCCTAGCAATCTGGGAGGTCGAGGTGGGAGGATCGCTGGAGCTCAGGAGTTCGAGACCAGCCTGAGCAAGAGTGAGACCCCATCTCTACTAAAAATAGAAAATAAATTTATTGGCCAACTAAAAATATATAGAAAAAATTAGCCGGGCATGGTGGCACATGCCTGTAGCCCCAGCTACACAGGAGGCTGAGGCAGGAGGATCGCTTGAGCCCAGGAGTTTGAGGTTGCTGTGAGCTAGGCTGATGCCACGACACTCTAGCCCGGGCAACGGAGTGAGACTCTGTCTCAAATAAATAAATAAATAAATAAATTATCCAAGATTGTTTCTATGTAAAACTGATGGTATTACACACTAATTGTGTCCATTAAGAGTGAGAATAAAATAAAATATTTTTTGAGAATTCACTTTTATTGTAATTTTGGAAGATTTCCTGGAATGATTTTCATGCTTTCAATTTAAATTTTAAAATGTATAAATTACAATGAAATTATTAGCACACATATGTGGCAGTCTGATTCTTTCATAAATCTGAAATTGTTCTGGTTAAATATATGTAAAACACAATTTATGAGGAGATATCAAATGCACTGATGACACACTGAAATGACATGAGGCAAACAAAATTTTTTATCATAAAGTAAACTTAAGAAATAAAATACAGTTTTAAATTCTAACTAGTAAGAATTTGAGAACATTAAAATGGTAAAAGGCTGCCATCTTCAGGGTTCTAGAAGCTTATTTCTTCTAACATATGTATGATGAGTATATAATTTGATAGTATTTGTTATGTTAAAGGTGAGCTATTATTTTAGATGATAGTGCAGTGTATTAACAAAGTAAAGAAATTATTCTGTATTCATATTTTTAAAAATCTGTGAAAGTCTGCGGCCACACCGCCCTGACCGCGCCGGATCCCGTCTGCCCTTGGAAGCTAAAAATCTGTGAAGCAATTCTGAAAATTATTGATATAATCATAAAGAAATAAAATACATGCTTTTTTTCTCTACCTTCAAAAAAAAATAAGTACACCTATGATGTGTTTAGTTAGTTTGTAAATTTTTTTTTTTTTTGAGACAGAGTCTCACTCTGTTGCCCAGGCTAGAGTGCCATGGCAACAGCCTAGCTCACTGCAACCTCAAATTCCTGGGTTCAAGCGATTCTCCTGCCTCAGCCTCCCGATTAGCTGGGACTACAGATGCGCACCACCACACCCAGCTAAGTTTTTCTATTTTTGGTAGAGACGGGTCTCGCTTTTGCTCAGGCTGGTCTTGAACTCCTGAGCTCATGCAATCCTCCCGCCTCAGCCTCCCAGAGTGCTAGGATTACAGGCGTGAGCCACCACGCCCGGCCTAGTTTGTAAACTTTTAAAGATAGAGTACTCTATCTTTTGAAACGTTGGAATGCACAACTCAGCCATTTTTTTTAGGTAAAAGTTCAATTCCCCTCCTTTGGTAGTTGTGAAACCTTTCAAGTAGGTTGCTAGAGAAGGATGCATCTAGGATTCTTCAGTTTAGATTCTTCTGATTTCCCCATTCTTACTTAATCCTGATTTTCATTTGTTGTTTCTAAAGTTTTAGATTAATAGATGCCTTTGTATTTTTGAAAAAAAGTGAAAATGCAAATAATATCCAATTTAACTACCTTTTATGCATTCAGATTATGTTTTGAAATTTTGGGGAGGTTTGCCAGAGAAAATATGGATTCCATGGATGGTAATATTAAAGTGTTAAAACCCAATTTTTAAAATGCCAATTGCTATTTTTATTTTATTCCCAGTAGGAAAAGAGAAAACACAAGAATTTTTTATTTTATTTTTATGAATTTCTACCTGATGGCTTATATTTTTGCAAAACTGTATTTCATACTCAAAAGCAAATGAGATAAAAATTCAAATAGCATATAATATTTAAAATGGAGAAATATTTGATTTAGTTTCTTGAATTGTCTTAATCAGTTTAATTTTTGACTCCAATTCATTGCTCACACTGAATAATTATATCTGGAAGCATAAAGTTTACTTCCAGATGAACAAATTTGGCATGTTGTAGATGTAGCTTAAACATCCTCTGCTTTATGAGAGTTCAGAATTTCTGTAATACAGTATATCCATGTATAAAATAAATTCTATACGCTATTTCATACACATGTAATTATTAAAGTAAAATTCAGCTATATTGCATTTTTATATGATGACAACAGCACGTACTTACTGTGTGACCTGACCAAGTCATTCAGTTTTCTAGAAACTCTTTCTATATATTTAATTTTACCATAAAATATCTTAATTTAAGATTATTGCAAAGATTAACACATAAAATGATCCTAGCATAAAGCTCACACAAAATGGGTGATCCAGTATGAGTTGTATTATATAATACATATATAATATAAAACATATTATATATTATAATATATAAATACATGATATATAATTGTAACATGCATTTATTACATTTGTGTTTCTTTATGTATTATATATTAAATACAATACATAATAGAAATATGATGTACAGTTATAGAGTCTAACTTTAATCTTTATTAGTAAGCAGATCAAAGAAAAGAAGAGGCACGGATGTTTGCGTTGCAAGTGGCAAGATAGGGAACTCCTTAAGTGCATGGGCATTTGCACATATGTGTACAGGGAGAAGGCAAAATTTGAGTGATGATCGTGGACAATGGTGAAGGTGCTATCTAAAAGAAACAAAGTTTACAGTTGTATGTAACCAATTTAATATTTGTTCACTTGTATCTCAAACCACTTCACTTCAATGAAATGGCTTTCTTTCTATGAGTTTTGTTACTATTTTGTATTATCAAAATTACCTAAATATTCCATGTTTACGCTGCTCTGACACTTTTTTTGAGGCATGGGAATTTTTATCTAGATACAATAATACAATACAACCTTTAGTACTTTTTAAATGATTTTTTATTGAATTTATGGAGAACATTTCAGATATTAGATTTCACTGAATCTCTGGAAACATCTGGTAGGATTTTGTCTAGCCCTTCAATATATGTTTGCTATCTTTGTCAGGATTCTGTTACCTTGGAATCTGTTACGTTAACAATATTCCTATATACAGAAATAGATATTAAAGAAGTACAAACATTTTCATGGTTCAATTGCTGACTCAATACAGATCAAGGACTAAATATTTTGATGGTCTGTTTATAAAAACATAGAAGTTTCCTCTCTCCGCAAAGATGTTTCTTACTGAGAAATCCTATTAGTTTTTGAATTTCTGCTTAATGGCTTATACTTTTGCAAAACTATATTTCATACTCAAAAGCAAATGAGATAAAAATTCAAATAGCATGTAAAATTAAAAATGGAGAAATATTTTATTTCTGCAACTCCATCTAACACTAATAAAATTTATGTTCACGCAATTTTTTCTCACTTTGGTAGTCAAATTATGAATTTTTAGAAGTTAAATTTTGAAATGAATTCCTCCCAATTTAATTTAATTCCCAGGAAAGCTGCATGAATGCTGCCCAAATTCAACGAAATTGTTGAAACTACACCCACATATGGGGCATAGGTATTTCCAACCATTACTGGTGTTTATGATCACAACCCTCATGTCATGGCGAGATATCAACTGATGCTCAAAAGCTTCTCCATTAAATGTGTTTTGAATTCGGGTCTGTTGGATATAGAACACGGGCATAACAAAAACATAAAATCCATCCTTCCCTTTAGCGTCAATTGATCCGCAAAATTTTCCTGATGTCATTCTCTCAATTAGGGGACGGTAGTAGTACACCCTCAAAGGCCTTCTGAATATTATTGCTCTCTCATCATGGATGAGGACATTTGGGTGAGGAAGAAATGCTATATATTTTTGCTTTACCCACTTGGTATTTGGACGGCCTGTAGACCGAGAGAACTGTCTCCCACAGAGCAGACGGAGAATCATTCTTCTTATCTCATGATTGCTAATAAATGGGATTCTCCACGGAATTGAAAGTTTGAGAGGAATTTTGTAATTTATGGTGCTATGAGGGAGACAGCTTGTTTTCATCTCCACTTTCCCTGAGTAGAATCTTGATCTGTCAGTTAAGGGACTGTTTTTATCAATTTTTACTAGTGGGATACTCATATAGCTAATTCTCTGTAATCCTGACATAAGGAAGACCCATTTTCTAGGAATGGGGATCTGAATTAGAAAAGACTCTTCTTCTTTTATATCTTCCTTTTCAGTGTCTTTTTGAATCTTGTCTGCTTCAAGCTCACTGTTTTCTGCTGCTTGAGGAACAATATCCTCCTGGGAGGTGGTTGTGTCTGGCTCCCTATTTATTGGGTTGTTTTCCACCTGAGAGATAATATTGGGATCTGCAGATAGAGGCTCTATGTCTCTATTACAGTCATTTGGAGTCTCATTTTCAGAATTTTCGAGAATACTGTCAGCTGGATCACTTCCTTCTTTAGTAGGAGAAGTCATCCTGGGTTCTATTTGTGAGAAAGAAGAAAAAGATTTATTAAATTGAGGAATGTTCCACTTTATAAGAAATCAGTTCTTTAGTCTTGGCAAAATGCATGTGGATGTGTTATTCCTGTGCTTTTTCACAACTATAAATATTTTATCAGAGTCAAAAACCCATGAAATAAAATAGGGAAAAGTCAAAACTGAAAGAAAATAAAAATCTTCTATTAAATGCATATTCTCATTACTTAGTTATGGAATTTGTATAATCTTAAAATAACATAACCTCTCATTTGGCTATTTTTGGAATGTATTCTATGTAGTAGAGCACATACAGTTCTGGATAGGAAGCCCAATTATTCCCTTTTGGAGGATGAATTACATAGAGTTTTCATTGAGTAAAATAGATCTGAATTACTAACCTGGGAGTTTAAAATGAGACTAAAGTAGAAGGCAGTTATTAAGAGTATATATATTTAAGACAGAGTTAAGACCTATGTAAAAATTAAATGGTTGAATTTGTATGAAGAACAAGCTATTCTTCTCCTGGAATTTTGTCTTTGTTGCTGACCCTGTTGTTTTAAATCTGCTTTTTTTTTAAAAAAAGTAATGGTCATACAAAGAGGAGCAATTGTGAATTACATGAGAAGGGAAGGCAGGGTGGGTAAGAAGGTAGGAAGCTGATCAGTGAAGTCCAAACTCTGAGGTCATTTGTTAAAATATCTTCCAAATTTACCACTTCCTTTTCATTCTCACTGCCTCAGTACTAGTCAAGCTGGTAATCACCTCGTCCTTGCTTTACTGCTGATAGTAGCTGATTTCCCTGATTCCAAATTCTCCACTTGCCACTCTCCTCTCACCTACTTCTTTCCTTGTGTCATTTACGTGTTCAATCACCATCAGTGTATCCTAATTCTCTGAGCTCTGTGCTTCTAATTCTCTTCTGTGAGAAGACTTGGAGCAATTACAGTTGGGAGATTTTTTCAAAGCAGGAAGATGGATAGGGCAGTTTCTTACTGAAGGCAATGGTAAGGAAAGACAAATGCAAGTGGGCTGAAAACAAACCTGGAGGACTTTGAGAAATTAACTAACGTGGCTTTTTTTTTTTTTTAAGGCAGTGATCACAATGTGATTTTATTCTGTACCTTCCACTTTGCAGTGCTGTTCTAAGGTCATGAGAATGTGTACTCATCAACTCCCCCTAATTTTACGGGTACCATTCCTTGACTTCTGTTACCATGTGATAGGTTGTTACACTTCTGCTTCTTTCAACTTTAATTCATTTATGTCTTTTATACTTGTTTTTAAAAACTCTTTCTAGAGGGGAGAAAAAATGGCGGAGTTAGGGTAGCCTCCCGGATCCCTGCTTCCAGAGAGGGAGAGGTAGATCTCGGTCTGCTACACACGATTCAGATCACTCTCCTGCAAAAACAGCGAGGTGAATCGGTGGATATTCAGCGGGGGACACGCAAATCAGGAAAAAGAATAAAGCAAACGGGAGATAGGAATACAAAACCTGGAAAGCGCCGACAGATATCAGAGAGTAGAGCGCAAGTCGGCGGCGCCAGCCTGGCCAGTAAGTGCACAGGGACAAGTCCCTCACGAGACAGTCTAGCTCCCCCTACTGACTTACAAGCCCACCGAGAGGCAGGCGCTTGTGTGAAGTGGATGTAGAACTGGGTCTGGAAACACAGGACTCAGCGGAGAGGAGACACGAGCGGGAAGCATCTTGAACTTCCTGGAGTTCCGTGTCAGGACTGCACCGGACAGGGGAGGAGCTGGGCTGGGCTACCGCCGGAGGCAGTTAGGACTCAGGAAGCTGGTCTCTGGCACCCAGCGGGTCCTGAGCGAGGAGGTGATTACTGAGTAGAGGACTCTAACCTGGAAACTGCAGCAGGCGACTGGGACTGCTCAGGGTGGGCCAGTAGAAGCGAGAGCTATTGCGGGACTGGCATGAGATCAGGGGAGGGAGACACAAAGGAGATGGCGGAGCACCCTGGTGACTCGGCTGACTCCCTGATCGGGTACCTCCCAGCCCCTGAGCGGCTCCCTCTGGAGCCAGCGCACTGGGGGCCAGCGAGCGCCAGCTCGGGGCCCACGGCAGGTCACAGGTGCGGAACGGCTCCCTTCCCCTAGCCTGGGCACTCTCGCAGCTAGCTCTGTCCTGCCAGGACCTGGGGCCACTTGGCTGGGCCCGTTTCTTTGAGCAGTGAATGCTGAGTGCCTCCTCTGAATTCTGAGTGCCTCCTTGCCTGTGGGGGGAGGACGCCTGCGGAGGCTGAAAGCGCTGGGGCGTTGGGCAGTCTGGTGGAGCGCCCCATCCCCCTGGCCAGCGACTTCTGCGCGGCCTCCAAGCTTGCAGCAGAGAGACATAGAGAGCCACTCCCCCTCTGCGACAAGCAGCAGTCCCTCGGGATTTGGCACTGACCAATAGCTGACAGCCCAGTGACTTTCCTCGCCAGACCGGTTCAGGTCACCCGGTACCATTGCATTTCCGCCTCCAGTCAGCTACCAACAGAGAAAGCCCAGCACAGGACCAAAACAAGCTCCCCAAGTAACCTCTCCCATCAAGAGAGCCGTGGACAACATACTAGCGGCTCCCTCTAGCGGCAGAACAAAACAAAAGTAACAGCGGATCCAGATGGGAAGGACCCAGCGAAAGATTTCTGGAAGTATGAAAAATCAAATGGAAAGCACACCTCCAAAGAGGAACACCAGCTCTCTAGCAATGAACACTAATCAGGTCCAGAATACTAAAATGACAGAAGAAGAATTCCAAACATGGATTATAAGTAAGCTCAATGATATCCAAGGAAAAATGGATAACCATCACAAGGAAACAACAAAAAAAAATCCAGGAATTGGAAGAAAAATTCACTGAAGAAATTGAAATATTAAAGAAAAATCAAACCGAACTCCTGGAAATAAAGGACTCATTCAGGGAACTTCAAAACACTGTGGAAAGCATCAAGAACAGGGTAGATCAAACAGAAGAAAGAATCTCAGGGACTGAAGACAGCTCCTTCCAAATGAATAAGTCAGTCACAGAGATTGAGCAGAAAATAAAGAAAAAAGAAACAAGTTTACAAGAATTGTGGGATTATGTGAAAAAACCAAACTTGCGTTTGATTGGTGTGCCAGAAAATGAAGAGAAAGCCACGCGAGGGCTGGATAACCTATTTGAAGATTTAATAGAGGATAATTTCCCAGGCCTTGCTAAAAATCTAGATATACAGATACAAGAAGCGCAGCGGACCCCAGGGAGATTCAATGCAAATAGAAAGACACCACGTCACGCGGTAATCAGACTGACCAAGATAGCCACTAAAGAGACCCTACTACGAGCTGTCAGGTGAAAGAAGCAAGTAACATACAAAGGGAAGCCTATCACAATAACTTCAGACTTCTCAACTGAAACCCTATAAGCAAGGAGAGCCTGGGGCCCCATTCTCACTCTTCTGAAACAGAATAATGCCCAGCCTAGAGTCTTGTACCCTGCAAAACTAAGTTTTATATATGAAGGAGAAATAAAGACATTCTCA